TCTTTCGCCTGCGCGATAAAACGGTATGCCAGGCATCCTCAGTCCATCCATGGCGTTCCGAACAAGTCGCGTCGCCAGTCTCGTTTCCGAGAGTCGCGTCAACAGACGCTGGTTCGTCATCCTTTGGCTGCCGAGACGAGACGCCACTCGCGTCCGTGTCAGCGGTGAGTGATTCCGGTGCCCAAGAAGGGCCGGGATAAGCTTCGTCGACTTCCATATGGCGAGAAAAGGCGATCAGCCCCAGCTAGCCATGCTTGGCAGAACAAAGGAACAGTGACCGCCGCTCCTGCCAAATTAGTCGGAGCGCTTAGGCTGACAGAACTTTCCCGCCGGCATTTTGTCGTGTCACAAAACAGGTCAAGAAAGTGAGGTAAACATCGCTCACCTTTGATCTCTGCCCCGTGGCAGCAAAGCAAGTGCCCAAAGTTCACTATCTGCTAGTCCGTGCTCCCAAAAACACACAACACCGTCGTGTTCCGCACGTCGAAGTACCTTCCGGGACGCGCGACGCCGGCCGTGGTCGTTAAGGTGAGCGTCTCAACAAGGTCATCCAATCTGCCTTCGATGGTTTCTTCTCGTAAAGTTGATCCTGGCCCAAGCTTTGGGTATCCGTGGAATCAGGAGAACTTCACAAAGCAGACTATAAGATTGTTAGATGAGTTTGCGCGAAATTGCTCTTATAAAAGCTTCGGCAAAGCGGAGCGCAGTGTGAACATGTCTTCACAGCTTGGTGCCTCCTCGTTATTCAAGAAATTCTTGCTGAATGCCATGTGATTTACCGCTGAACTACCGCATATTGCCCACAAATAAGTGGCTTCACTGAGCGTTGCAACCATACACTTGGCGACATGCTTTCTATGTATGTCGCCTCCGGACATACCAGCTGGGATCTTATCCTTCCCTACATAACGTTCGCTTACAACATGGCACCTTATGCGACGACAGGCTTTTCTTCCTTCTTTTTTTTTACTCTATGCCCGAGAACCACTAACTCTAATCGACACCATTCTCCCCTACCGGCCCGACTCTTCCGAAGGCACACCAGTTCCCGAAGCCACTCTGTATGCAGAAGAATGTCGGCAATTAACTCACACCCATACAACACAACAGCAAGGGCTACAGAAATTCCGTCACGACGATGGGTGGTCCAACTACTAGTTTTCGCCCAACTCTTTTCTTTGGCTGTGGGTGCCTCCCATTGCTACCCTTGGTACCTCTACAAAGTTCGTCAGCGGGTACCATGGACCTTATCGCGCTATAGAGCAAACTTCCACTGTCAACTACCTCATAGAGCCCCTCACAGCCACTGCAGACCTGCGTCGCCGAGGCAGCGAAATCGTACATGTGAATCGTCTCAAACCGTATCATGAACCACTTGTCCTCACGACACCTTAGAACACTTACTTGGGTCCGCCTTCCGCGAGGGGAAGTATGTAAGCAGGTAGTGGATCATGCAAAACTGGGCAAACACATCGTCAGTGCTAAGCACGAGATGCCCGGCCCGGACGTTTTCGCTGATTTCGTTGGCTAGGCCTACGCTCCTATTTAGCCTCAAATAACAGTTCTGACTGTCTCAGTTTTTTATGACACTCCAATCATTTTTGCGTGCTATCCAAGTCTCGGAGAAGAATGAGGTTTATAATTTGATAAGCCTGGGTCGACGAAAGATTTTATTGATATGTGGGGTTTAACGTCCCAAAACCACTACGGCGTCTCTCATATGACTATGAGAGACGCCGTAGTTGAGGGCTCCGGAAATTTTACCACCTGGGGTTCTTTAACGTGCACCCAAATCTGAGCACACGGGCCTACAATATTTGCGCCTCTATCGGAAATGCAGCCGCCGCAGCCGGGATTCGAACCCGCGACCTGCGGGTCAGCAGCCGAGTACCTTAGCCACTAGACCACCGCGGCGGGGGAAAGATTTACTCATTGATGAAGTCGTTAATGTCTTCCGAGACTCCCGCAAAAAAGTCCTTTGCAGAAATTCATGGCTTACTACAAAACCACTTTGTTTTCGAACTGTTCATTATCGGCGAAAGTGCAACATATTTTGCCGCTCTCAACTGCTGGAAGAGACTATTAATCGGTATGCCGCAGAGCTGTGTATACTTGTGGAAACTTGTGAGTTTGGCTTGAAGAGACAAATTTGTTTGGTGTTTTCTATTGTTTGACATGTAGTGCACTAAATTTGCAGAATACCACCAGCTAAGATTTTACACAGCAGTTCATCAGGCGAAAGCCATCGAAGCTGCTTCTCAAAGCAAATATGCTACATGCTCAACAACGCATGAAGAAATTCAGGTGCACAAAGGTAACCGCAATGCGGAAGCATCAAACTAGTGTTATCGCTGCGGTTCAGTGAAAAACATCACCCGCTCTTGTCAGTTCGTGAATGCCAAATGCTCTTATTCCAACCCAAAGGACCACGTCAAGAGTGCTTGCCGGAACAGATAGCTGAAGGGATCGAGAGTTAATAATAAACAGCCTCTTGGTCTCTTGTCACAGCCACACAGTAGCTTGAAAAGTTTAACGCCATCTGCAGACGCCAGAGAAAAACCAATCATTGTTGAGGTAACCATTGAAGACGTCCCAGTGAGCATGAAACTTGATACAGGGGCTGCTGTATCAGTTATTTCTGTCTCACAGTTCTGTTGTCTTTTTCCCAGTTTTTGCTTGCGCAGGACAAGTCTCACATTGAAAATCTCCACAAATGAATCAGTGATGTCCTCCGGAGTAGAAATTGTTGTAGTGCTGCACAACAAGCAGCGCCAACAGATATTGTACATGCAACGCCGGGACTACCAACTGCTGCTCGGACGCAGTTGGTTGAAACACCTCTAGCTTAACTTGGCGCAAATAGAAGGTCCTCATGACATGCGGGTGGAAAACCCACATGTCATGAGGGTGCCTAACATTCACGAGAAAGACGCGGCCTCGGTCACTCAAACGTTCACGTGAGCGCCATGACGCACAACAAAACGTTGCAGTAGGAAAGACGCAACGTCACCTGCCGTCGCGGCTGGTAGAGCGGCCGTTTCTACATATCTCGTGAGATGGTCGACCGCTACAATAATCCAGCCATTCCCAGCTTATATATATGTGGCAGAGAACCATTAAGGTCTATTCCAACCCGCTCGAATGGTCGCACTGGGCACTGACAGACCACCTAAACTTCAATCCTTGCTAAGCCTGTATCAGGACCTGTAGAAAGACGAATTCGGCACAGTAAAGAGAGAGAGAGAACAATACCCTGTTTTGGGGCGTGATACGAAGCCAAAATTGTTCAAAGCCAGAAGTGTGCCTTTCAATCTATAGACTGATGTCGAGCAGGAATTGGCTAAGTATGAAGAAGTAGACATAATTACACGCGTTGCAACAAGCCCGTACGCTTCACGTGTTGTGCCAGTTGTCAAACGCAATGCTTCAATCTTACAGTGTGGTGGTGCCAAAGTTACACTAAACCCGATACCTGACATCAAAAGGTACCCTCCAACAAATTTGCCGGGCTGGCTTCCGGACAACACTTTTGGAATATTGACCAAAGCAGAGCATATCAGCAGGTCAAAATGGACGATGAATCCAACGAATACCTTACGTTGGTCGTGCCCAAAGGCTTGTTTTTGGGACGCTGTCTACCAATCGGCATTTCATCTGCTCCCGAAATGTTTCGGTGTAATATAGATATGCCGTTAAACTGCTCAGCGGCATAACTTGTTATCTCGATGACGTAACTAATGACGGGTCACACAGTAGCATAACAGTTGCTCAACCTTGAAGTGATACTGAAGCGACTATATAAACGCCTACTTCTCGTAAGACCATCGAAATGCGATTTTTTTTGCAATGAGCTGCAATACTTGGGTCATTTAATCAAAAAGGACGGTATTCGACCGACGGAGGAAAAGTTGGTCGCTATTGCAAACGTACCAGCTCCTATAGACAAACCGGAGTTGCAGTCACTGATGGGAATGATAAATTACTCTTTGAAGTTTGTTCCGAATCTCTCATTTTTTAGTTTTTCTTTTTTAAAAAGCTTTTGAGTGAGGACGAGCTGCGACATTGGAACACCACTTGTCAGAGCGCGTTTTTTCACTTAAAAACAAAAAACAAAGAACTGCTATCGTTAAAGCCTATTCTGATTCACTAAGACTTTATTTGACATTGTAGTTGTCATGTGACGGTTCTTATTAAGCTAGATTCACCCGCGAGAGTTAAATCCCGCTGCTCCGCGGACCAAATAGTCGTGCACTATAATTTAATCGGGCGCAGCAGCGGGGACGTCGCATGCACCCATCCGGAGCTACGCTCCCGCAACCTTCGCGCACACTCTCAACTCCTGTCCTTAGGCAACGTGCTTATGCGACGAAAAACCACTCGCCTCTTCCAATGTTACAAAAAGCACGTTCGGTCGTTACCGCAAAACTAAAACACGTGACTAATAGGCCGGCAGTGTGCCTCCTGGTCACGCCAATCTGACTTATGTTGACAGATTTGAGGCAGAATGCTCTCGATTGAAAACAGGTGACAGAGACGCGAAAAGATAAACATAGCGGTGACGCACTTTCATCCGTCCCGCGAGCGGAGGCAAGCAGATGAAGCGAGAACGGCAAGTTTTGATAACGCGCACATCACGTGATGCACCGCACACTGTGAAAATTTTTCCCGCATCCCCTCGTGTAAATGCACATTTGTGGTATAGGCACAGTTCTCTCGCGCATTTGTATTAACCATGTTCATCCAATAGCTGATGCTTCACGCTCGTCAACGAATGTTTAGCACGGTTACAGACAATTACAGAAAGATGCATTCGCGCTTGTTTTTTGGAGTCAAGAAATTTGATGGCGACGTTTACACATGAAAGTTTGTTTCTCGCAGATCATAATCTACTTGAGACAATGGTAGTCTCTAAAATGGGCATTTCAGCCATCGCAGCTTCCGGACTGCAAAGCTGGGCAATCATGCATTCTGCATATTCCTTTTCGTTGCAGTTTCCCCCTTCACAGCAGGAAGTGGACGCTGATTGCTTGTTGCGTCTTTCGATCTAGCAATCGGGAACAGTCAGGGCAGAAGAAAGCTTTCTGGTTTACGTTTGGACAGCATTCCCGTTTGTAGTAAACAGATCGCAGAAGAAACAGCACGGGATCCAGTTTTCCGTCAAGTAGTGCTGGAAAGTAGTGCTTTCAAGTGCGTCAAGTAGTGCTTTCGTCATATCAAGTTTGTGGCATGTTACTGATGCGTGTGGTGGTACCATAAAGTTCCACCGATTTTTCCTAAGTGAATTGCATGAGGAGCATCCTGCAATGGCGCGCACGAAAGAGCTTGCAAAAAGTTATGTGTCGCGGCCAAATATCAATCATGACATTGAGAGATGTGTTGGGTCTTGTCACGTATGCGCACAAACACGCAGTTTGCCAGCAAATTGCCACTTCATTCATGGTCCTGGCCGATGTGTCCGTGGCAACACCTGCACGTGGGCTTTGCCTGTTCAATAAAAGTTATATCACACCTAGTATTTCGATGCCCGTTCCAAGTGGTCTAGAGTGTGTGCCATGACCACCACTGCATCAAAATAATTGTTTGCATTCATGAACTTTTCTTCGTATTTGGATATACAGAAACACCCGCGTCTGATAACAGAAGCCAGTTTATTTCTGCCGAATTCGAAGCCTACCTTAAACTGTAGAGCATACAGCACGTAAAGACCACACTGTATCACCCAAGAAGCAATGGTCTGGTTGAGCGTTTTGTTCAGACTTTGAAGTTAGCACCGCGCAAGACTAGTCGCAGAGAGCACAAGAAGCAACTAGCCGACTTTCATTCGACGTATCGAGATTCACCTCATGCTACAACAGGTTAGGCCTCTTCCTGGGGAGACGGCTGCGGACTGGACTAGACCTGATACGACCAGAGGTCGATAACAGAGTGTGCCAACGCCGTTTCATCCAGACAAGGTGTCACCTGTATCGCGACGACGTATTCACTGTTGATATGACACTCGTGTGCGCATTTCCCAATCGGGACCCAAGTGGCTATGTGCCGCAGTTCTCACCAGCACGGGACCAGTGTCATATCGCTTGAGCGTAGAGACTCCGCAGGGTGCGCGCCAGTGGGTGCGCCACCAAAGTCATATCTGCAACGACATCACCGCGGAGTTCGATCTGCCCTTTGATGGAAGAAGGCAAGAGATGCCAGCAGAATTCTCAATTACCGACTCATCAGATCACGTCAACAGCACGCCCACCACACAAAGTGAACCGGCAGACACTTCAAGCACTACTAGCGAACGTCGCTACCCGCTGAGACTAGTGCCGCCCACCTGATCCCTTTGTGCCGATGATCACTTTGTGGTCAAGACAATTCTTAGAGATCTAAAAGAGTGTATTAGACGTCACATGTCTGTACGAGTGTGCTCGCACGATACTGTGTCACGCGGACCGTGTTCCAAAACTATCGCCTACAAGGTGAATAAAAGCCCTTTGAACACAGCATGGTGGGGCACTTTTCCTTCGGCACTCTCGGTTATCGTCATGTTGCTGTGTGAATGAAGCATGTTCAAATATTGTTGGCGTATTCATACTCGTCATGCCCATTCAGGCTCTACTTGGACCTGCTGGTTATCGTGAATCACTTGACGTCCCATGTGATCTGTTTCATCGGGTTGGCCTCAACATGCTTAGTCTGTTTCTTGCGTCTCGGGAAATTGATAAATCACCGTTTCCACGGACTACGTAACATGGTTTGCAATTACTCGCACACTTGTTACCAAATGGGCGACAGACGTAGCAGTCTTCTTGCTCCACAATGTGGAGAAGCTGCCGTGGTTCAGCGAGGAGCTCTTAATACAGATATCAAGCGCTTAACCACGGCAGCTCTCAACGCACCACGCCAGGCAGCTTCTTTCCAAGGTAATAAATGATATTTTGACGTTTTGCTCTAGAAAACATAAGTTCAGCATGACCTACCATCTGCAGATGGATGTCATGACCAAGCAGATAAACTGAATCATTAAAGACATGCTGGCAATGCACGTGTCCGCCGACAGCCAAGATATATACATCTTTGCTTTTTGTCGCGTTCGCGTATCACACGTGCCGACATGAGAGGGCTAATTATTGCCTTTTGTTTCATTGATTTCAACAAATTCCTTCGGTCAATTATGGACACAGTTATGCCTCGTTCACCGTACTCACCTGCTGAGTACGCTCAAGATGCTATAGCACGCGCCGACTGCGCACGTCCACTAGCGCGTACTCGGCTAACCAACTCACAAGCATGCCAACAATCTCGTTGTTACAGATGTCACCGAAATGCCCGCTATCTCCCTGGATATTGTGTCCTCGATCCTGTGGCCTCCAGCACAGCGGGCTTCCTTAAAAGCTACTCTTCTCGTACATGGTCATACCGCATGTGCCACCAAGTAATCGACTGTACGTATGAAATTGAACAATTGTCTTCGTCCTCGTTGACTAAGCCAACACCGACATCATTCACCTTGCGCATCTGAAACCCTACTATACAGCGGAATCCACCACAACTTGCGTTTAGTAACTGGTGCCTGTCTTTCTCCGAAAGCACCAAGTCGTTGCTTTTGCCGCAGAAGGGTGATGTTATGTGCCGCTTACCAAGAGGATCAAGAAGGGAAGGGCTAAGTGGTTCCTGTTCTTGCCATCTGAGATTTGGAAGCGTCTGTGTGTGTAATTTAAATACACCTTTCACCTGTCATTCCCTTGTAATTTCCAATGTGATGTTGACTGCCGATAGTTTTGCACAACTGGACTCCAGATCAATTTTTTTACAGAAGATTCTTCGACCTTTAACGTGTGCTTCAATAGAGCAGAAAGCAACTAAAGCATTACAGAACTACCTCAACTCAACAAGGATGAGTGACCACTTGTACACTGCCTGTGCTACTCCTGTATTGTACTCAGGATTGTGTTATGTTTCACATCTTTCTTCCCTTTTTTCTCTATCTCTTTTCCCATTGCAAAATAGCAAGCCGGACATGCGTCGGGTTAACCTCCCTTCCTTTCTTTGCATCTTTCTGTCTTAACTGCAATGTAACCTGTAATGTAGGGCCAGTTAGACAAGTCTTTTCTTCTTAGTTGAACGACAAAGATTCGCAGCGTGAACTTTAACCAAAGTTAACTGTTGGTTTCCGTGTCTAATTGGAGCGAACGGGGACCTCCAATTCAAAACAATTAACATTTCTTGCTTCAGCCCTCCCAAGATTTGACGTTAGTGGATCTGAAACGCCCTTCCCAACATGCCAATTTTCTACCTTTTTTAACGCGAAATTGTTCTTTGCCAGGGTCTACAGAAACTTTCCGGCGTCAACCGGGTCTACAAAGGCTTTTCCCCACGGGATTGGCGTGGAAATATACGTATGATGAGACAACTATGAAAAATATACACCTACAGGTGTTGAAGCCATAACCTTTCGGTCCGCGACTACATATTGCGTTCTGCATTACGAATACTTTATAAATCCGCCTTTTGCATTGACCATTGTCATCCCACAGTGTTTTTGGTAAAATAAACTAACGCATCACGACTGTTAAATTCATGATCAGCAACATCAAAGCGTAGGTTTACGCACTCGTGCATTCAGCGTGTTTCCTTTAACAAAAGTGCAATTTTTTCAATGCCTTAACAAACTACCAGGAGGTGACCTTAGCGGAAACGTTGGCCTTGCTGCTTCGATCGTAGCATAAATCTAGTCCAAAAATAGCTAAACGACGCCACCATGCATTGTCTACTTCCCGTCGCCCCTTGAAAAGTAATAGCCTGCCGACAGCACAGATACGGCGCGCGCTGTGTTTCCCTCTGGTCGGGCAGTGGGGTTTAATAACTCTAACATATGCTTTGAGTAGGCGCCTTTAGCCCGAGTTTCGGGTGTAGTTGATGATGCTCTTCTGGCTGTCACACTATTTTTTCTGGTTCCACTCTCACTGTTAACTACTAAACTCCCACAGTAACCTAAGGCCACATAGGTTTCTTCAATCAATTATCTTGGGTGTTAGTCGTGGAAGGACATGTATCGCTAAGTATAGAATTGAGTGCATCCGCGTTAAACGGCGCCGTAGCTGCAAAATATCAATACACATATAGCAAGCTCCTTTATATTAATGTACCATAAATTTTCAACTAGTTTTGTAAGGTCACATCTTATTTTAGTGTTACACCAACTTTATTAACGGAAGGATAACCTACGCATTTTCATTAATAGTGGAGTAATGTAAATGCTCGATTAGCTGCTGGAACCATTATTGGCAACGACAAGGAACACATGCGCACTTCTAGCGTGAAAATAGCAGAGTAAAAAAATGGCAGCATATCCGCGGAATGAATGATGGAGAGTGGGGCGAAGAATTCGTCCGTCCATTCGTTCTTGCTTCCGTCCATCCATGCGTCCATCAGCCCGTCCGTAAGCGTGCATCTGTTCGTGCGTTCGTCCCTGCGTTCATCCATGCAGCCGCCCCTGCGTCCGTTCATGCGTCCATCCATGCATCTGTCTATGTGTCCGTTCGTCCATCTATTCAACACTCCAAGTACCACCACTTCGCATCTTTTCATCATATATTCCCCATATAGAAGCACCGCCATCCAGCGGACATTACAAGGACTAAACGAGAGGTGGCACACTCACACTTTCTTACGGCTTGCGCTTTGGGTCCACTTCCCACCTTTAACCACCTCGAGTTCATGGTATATACTAGTTCACTGTATTGCCACGTTCCATTTCCCAAGTTTTTGTTATCGTCCCAAAACACCACATGATTCTCAACGCAAACTGCACCTGCAGTTTTCGAGAAGGTTCCGGACTGTAGTAGATCATTTCGATAAGATCACGCCCACTGTGCGAACGGTACAGATTGTTCTGGAACCTACGCCACCGCCAGCAATAACGCTAGAACATTCGACGGCAAGAGTATAAATGCCAACGCGCTTCGCCGCTTGTCAGTTGTTGATCGAAGGCCGATGCTCCGTTCGCCGCTATCAGTCCGAGACTGCTATTTGTGCAAGACTGCTGCTGTAATTGGACTTTCCGTTTACCGGGCACAGGTTCGCCCAAATAAACAGTCAAATCACAACACGAAGTCTCCTGTCTTCGGCCACGTCACGACCCCGTGACAGTGTTCATGGCACTGCGGCCGAACGCTCGCTAAACCTTTCAAAAACCAAGGAGGTTACGCCCAGCGAGTATGACGTAGCAAACTTTTTCAATGAGATAGTGCTCAATGTACATGCCAATGGCTGCTAATGGGAAATGAGAGGTGGAGAATTCGGCTTTTACTTTCTTACGGCTTGCGCTTCGTATCTACTTCCCATTTTTAACCACCTCGAGTTCATTCATGGTTTATACAAGTTCATTTTATTCATGGCACTGCGGCTCAACGCTCGCTAAACCTTTCTAAAGCTAAGGAGGTTACACGCAGCGAGTATAACGTAGCAACCCTTTCTTGTCAGATAGTGCTCAATGTACATGTTACTGGCTGCTAATGGTGATCGCAGTCTGCGCATTAACTAAAAGCCGAATGCTCCTCTCTCATTCCCCATTAGCAGTCATTGACATGTACATTGAGCACTATTTTTTATTGTTCAACAACGCACAGACGAAGTCTCTCACCAGCACCAAATGTTATACTTCAGTCAAAATGTTATACTTGTTACATACTACGGGGGACGAACGGGTGCCGCTGTGAGGAGCTTCGCCCCTAAAAACAGGATCTTGAAGCGTCTCGCAGCCGACGCAGATGATACAAAAGACCGATGGAGCTCCCCCGTCCCATACTGGATATGTCGCTCTCTCGCAGCCAGACGAACGTGTATAAAATGGCTCTTGGATCAATTTTCTGAACGGGAATGTATGACTAAAGTGCGGGGGCAAAATAGTTGACGCACAGTGGCTTGAGAAAAGCCAGCGGAGAGCCTTTTTTTCGCTAGCGTGATCGGGTCTGTGCAGATTTCTATTTTACAGCGACAGCACTAAAAGGCCTTCGCGAGTGTCATGTAATTGCCTTCGCTTACTAAAGGCAGCTGACTACGTAGTAAGCGATGAGCAGCCAGCCGTTCGCCGCCAGCGAGTACAAAGCGGGTATGCCGTGCAGAGTGCTGTACTGTGCCGCCTATAGGTCTCTGCAAGTAATGAATTTTGCATACGCTTATGGGTGAGCTTGTAAAAAAATTATGGCTTACCAACGAAATAAAAAAATTATTAGTAGGCAAAGCAGTGCTACCGTGTGGTGTTACCGTAAATTACTAATGGCATCAACTTCTTACACATGTAAATGAGTGCCAAACAGTGTGTAGTTATACAATGTTTATTGTTCATAACTGGTATGCAGTGTTCAGAGTCAAAGTTCATTTTCTCTTCCCTAGTCTTGCTTTGTGGTATCGTATATAGCCTGAAGTTGGGAAATACTAGGTCTGGGCACAATCCATTCTGGTTGTTGGCTGTTTTTGTCATAAGAATTGAATCATAGAGTATATCGAACCATCCTATACTGCAAAAACTGGTCATGGTCTGTGATCATCGTCATCATCTTCATCGGTATCAACGTCATTGGCGCAATCCTGGCGTATAGTCGGCACCTTGCATCTGCTAAGTTCCATGTTGGCACGAAGAGAATGTGTGGTCTGGAAGATGCTTGTTCTTCATCGTCATCAGCATCATCGTCTCGCTCATCGTCATAGTCAGTCGCGAATACCGCACACAACAGCAACAAACAAGCCTCGGCCTTAGATATGCCTCTAAAAGAATGTGTGCTCTGGAATGGCCTGTTTTTCATCATCAGCAAGATCATCGTCTTGAGAGACGACGGCACACACCTCTCAAGCACAAGCAAATTCGCCCCTAAATACGTAACGAAGGTACGGCAAAGTACGATTAAAGACACGATTCTGCTTTTTGCTCCACCTGAAAGCTGAAGGAGGCGCCATCATATGAAATCACCATTTGTGTCGTATATTTCACGCATCGTAAACACAAATTGAATATATTTGTTAAATCAGTTAACAGACACACGTCATATATTGCAGTTCATTTTTCACAGTGCCATCCTGATTGGTCCAACTGCTGGCCCACCTTGGTGGTCTAGTGGCTAAAGTACTCGGTTGCTGACCCACAGGTTGCGAGATTGAATCCCTGCTGCGGCGGCCTGCGTTTTCCCATGGAGGCGAAAATGCTGAGACCTGGGTGCTTATACTTGGGTGCACGTTAAAAAAACCCCGGGTGGTTGAAATTACCGGAGCCCTCCACTACTTTGTCTCTCATAATCATTTGGTGGTTTTGGGACGTTAAACTGTACCTATCAATCAAAATCGGTCCAACTGGTGTATCAAGGTATACAGCACACACTCACCTAATTATTACTTATTACTAACGAAAGTGCATGCATTGTTCATATAGCCATTATTTTCAGTTACTGCAGCTGTTGTTTAACCAAACTTTAAAGTTTGTTGTATCTGAAACAATAGATGCTTACCATCTTTCTTTGTCCCAACAATGAAACATGCATTTGCCGCGTAGAGAATGTCGAAGAGTCCAGACACCCGAGGGTCTTCAAAACCATGAGCTGTGAACAATGCATGGTTACCGTGTCAGCAAATAAGTACATACGTATTGCGGTATTCTCCTTATTTTCACAAAAGTTTAGTGACTATTATTATACACTGAAACTGTACGCATGAAAGTTTAATTAGTGTCTGTAGAGCACAAAAACCCTCTTTAGCATACATATACGCAGTATTTTCACCAAACCACGCTACTGAAGAACAATCTTAGACAATCTATGCTTTCGAGTTATCTATTTACATTTTTATACTGCGAAATCAGGACCTTTAACCATATTTACTGGAAAGCTGTCGGTTCATTCATGGAGCTTCCGTTCCTATAAATTGGTACCATTCTTTCAATTCAGTGTCAACTTATTTCAATAGTTGCCTAAAATAGTAACTGAAAAATGCCTTCACCACAAGGCAGTAGAATGTAAGATGGCTGAAATAGAGAAAATCAAGCCGCAAATGGCACACCATGGACAACTTTGGTCATCTGTCGTAAAGAAACATGACTGGCACAAATGATGAGTTTCCTGCTTTCATTCAAAGAGCACTTGCGTGGTTCAATATACGCTAGGATAGTCACAAAAGTATTGTCCAGTTTGAAGTTTCGTCGTCTTTCGATGTTAAACAGAAATGAACGAGTTGCAAAGAAGAATTCGTTACAGTGTCTATTATACGTATGTACAGAAAGCAGCCACAGCTGTCAATGTGCATAAGCAGTACCACGCATTTTGCCGGGTTTTATACTATTTTGATCGCGCAAAAATTTCACATCGAAATAAACCACCTATCTCACGTTCATGTTTCTTTGCAATCGTTTGAGCGACCCTTTCCTGCACATTCTGTCTTATCTTTTTACATGCATGACGGTGATTCAACACGGTGTTGCATGAATACTTGGGGTTTCACGGCGTTGCTGGTACGTATGCAACTCGTTTGTACAAGCAACAGAATATAGATTGAATAAGTGGGAAAAGTTCAGTTAGTGTTGCGTACGCTGTACGATACACTCACGAAATATATCACACTTCCTTAAAATGCATCCGCGCCGCCAAGGTGGTCTAGTAGCTAACGTACTCGGCTGCTGACCCACAGGTCGCGGGTTCAAATACCGGCTGCGGCGGTTGCATTTCCGACGGAGGCGAAATGTTCTAGGCCTGTGTGGTCAGATTTGTGTGCACGTTAAAGAACCCCAGCTGTTTGAAATTTCCGGAGCCCTCCAACACGGCGTCTCTCATAATCATATGGTGCTTTTGGGACGTTAAACCCCGCATATCAGTCAATCAATAATTTAAGATGCATCGGGCTTATGTTCTCAACAGTGTATTGTGCTTTTCTTCTATCTGCGTGATGGGGACGTTTCTTCCGTCCTTCTTCCTCATCTGTACATTGTCGTTATTATTCTCGTCTCTTTTTTTTCGCTCTAATCGTCGCTGTGTCAAAGAGCTTTAATTGGTGCTAGAAGACGAGAGTGCCCCCGTAAGTGCGTAATGTCTGCGAGTCGCCCCCACGATGGCACTGGTAGGTTTAGACTCTCGGCAACTAGCGGGCTCTCTGGACAGCCCTGAACTTCTGTTCCCTGGAGAATCTGGTAAGGAGACGGCACCCATCTTTCTCCGTAGACGGAGACGCTGAGCCCAAGCGAAAGTCGGGACACTGCCACAGCATGTGCTGTAGTGTGTACATAGGATGTCAACATCGCGTACAGCCTGTGCCCACGCCTTCCACTAATTTAGCCCCGCCGCGGTGGTGTAGTGGCTAAGATACTCGGCTGCTGACCCGCAGGTCACGGGATCAAATCCCGGCTGTGGCGGCTGCATTTCCAATAGAGGCGGAAATTTTGTAGGCCTGTGTGCTCAGATTTAGATGCAGGGGAAAGAACCCCAGGTGTCCGAAATTTCTGGAGCCCTCCACTACGGTGTCTCTCATAACTATAGCGTGGTTTTGGGACGTTAAACCCCACGAATCAATCATCAATTCCACTAATTTAGTTTTTATAAACGCAGACGGATACCTACTTCACGTGTGCGCAATTTGCCTCTGGCGGCCTGTTCGCTGCCCAGCCCTCGGCCATAATAAACGTGAAGCTAAAGCCAATCAAGAGGTTATTGTATCTACAACATAATCGAACACGAAGCTACACAGCCACATATTTCTGTTGATCAGGCGTTAAAAATGGGACACCAGAAAATTATACTAACACAAAAGTGCACAACCAAGAAATATAAAGACATGCACTAAATGTAATTCATTTAGGGATGATAGGTCATGTCACATAATAATGAATAAATACCGCTCGGACACTGCACTTCTCTACTTAATCGATTTCGGGATTTCAAACAATTGTTATGAACTTCATACACACAAGGAACCACGAGAAGAAATAGAATTATCATCCCAGAAGAATATACTAATGCCCCAGATTATACGTAATTCCAGAAGAATATACGTAAATTCCTTAATCAATGTAATTGTCGTGTTGTACAGCATAATAAAATTGTGTTCACTCCAATACTGATTACAAAATGACTATTCACACAGGCAGCATTTTTTCCACGTATATACACATGAGAGTGAAACACGGGTGCTCACCCAAATAACCAGTGATGCGAAGGCTGGCCACCTGTTTGAGCTCCACTTCAATGAATGCCCTCCTTAAGAAATTAAAATTTATAAACTTCATCAACTCAATCACAATAATGAGATGCGTTAAGCGAATTATCACGAGAGATCTCGTATACTTTGCATTTCTTTTATTTTCTCATTCTTATTGTTTATTTCTATTTCGAATTTTCTTTACAATCACAGGGGCCAAGAAAACAAGCTGCTCTAGGCAGCTTGAGGAGCTCTTGGCCCCAGTTCTTCATGGTGCCAGCATGTGGCGGAGGTGGTAATCGACAACCTTGGGCTAATATCAGGATGTCATCAGCAATGAATAACAATTACACAATACAAGCAAAAAATTTAAATGCACAATGTAATGTGCAGTACATATGTATAGGAGCGCGTGAGAAACAATCTCTTCCATAAATGCGAATTGAATACATGCTCTACCACACTGTTTGCAAAGTCAGTAGTAGTATCTAGAAACAAAAAAACACACAAATAGAGTTCCTGATTAAGGTGAAGCTTGTTGATACCGCGTAATGTGTATTTATTAAAACCCGTATTTTAGTGTACTTTGTAATATCTGGGTAATCTATTTTTTTAACACTTGCATGCCTTAACTTGTCTGTGATTGGGGTGTAGACCGTACTTTTATAGACCATACTGTGACGGGTGGTATATGTAGCTGTGTGTTTATGAAGACAGTCTATATATTTAATACTCCTTTACACACCGTTAATAGGTACACCTACTTCATTCGTTAAAATTGCCCGCATGAAGGCTGTGGCCATTTCATGAATAAACCTGCACTTCACTTGCAACAAGAATGCGAGTCCTTTCGCGTTAAAAAGCAATTAACACGCTTTTTAAAGTATCCTAGATAATAAAGAGAACTTCTTTTTATTAGTGCACTAGTAAAAAGGCACTCGGAAGAGAACAACTACAAAAAATTACCAAAAGCTAATCATCGTAAGAAGCTCTCTAGCAAAGAGTTCAGCGAAAGCAGAAGCATCATCTCGGCAAATAACCGACCTACCTCTCTGCTTATATTCTAACAAACTTAGCTTTTTAGGACTAAATCCAGTGTTGTTTTTTTATAGTGTTGGGGGCTGTCACAGAACGAGCGCTAAACAAGAGCGCGCCGCCAAATACTTGCGACAACGGGCGGCAGAAACGCCGCGAGGTAAAAAGGAAAAAAAAAAGAAAGCAAACATCCAGGGCTCCCGGGCGCGCGCTCTCCCCACAGAAGCACGGCTTCGCAGACGATCCTCCTCACCCCACATCGGCGGCCCAGCAAGACCGCGATTTTTCTCGAACGAACGGGGCGGGGTCAGACTGAGCTGAGTCATCCGACGCGGAGGGCAGACAAACCGTCTCGCCTCTCCCCAGCCTTCGCTGCGTATCGCGCCGACGAAATGACGAGAAAGATCTGGAAAGTCGCGCGCAAGGTATTTAACCGAGCAGCCGAGACGAGAAATCAGGAGGTGACGGAAGTTAACGCCAGAGCGCGTAGGAATTCCGCCGTGTAGTCGGCGAAGGTTCTGCCCGTAGTGACAGAACAGGAGGAGACGGAAGTGAGCGCCAGAGTGCGTAGAGAGTCCGCCGTGTAGTCGGCGAAGTTTGTGGTCCGTAGGGACGGCTCGAGCTACAGGCAAGAGTGTGTGTTTACCGCTATCGAGCGAAGACCCGTGGCAACCGCTGCGAGGGTGAAGCCGACGTGTTCCGGCGAAGAAGTTGAAGTTGGAAGAGTGGCCAATTGAAGACGGGAGGTTTCCTGGAAGAGAACTTCGAGAGCTGCGGAACGACAACAACGCTGGACTTTGAGTGAGTGATTCTCGGAAGAGTATCATTCAGACTTTTGTTCCAAGGACTTTGGACTGAATAGGTTTTATATCTCTTTGGACTTTAAGTGTCTTGGTTGTTCAATGCATGCGACTGCATTGTAGTGCGTATTGTTGTCTGTGTCCGTTGTTTCAAGTGTGGTTGATTGTACTGTGTAGTACATTGTTTGTTGGTGACGTATTGTATGTAACTATTGTGGAGTGTGCATACGTGTGTATTGTGTTTTGATCTGCCGTTAATGAGAATATAATTTTGTTTGTTTATCAACTCTCGGCTCTGTCTTGTTCTTTGGGCCACAGCCGGCGTCCGCTGGCGCAGCAATAAGGACCACTTCTAAATTGTCCACGCTTTCGTGGTGCGGTTCGGGGGGCCGATACTTCGGCTCTTGGAATTAGCCCGGCGATCGCCTCCCTAATAACGGGACAGGTGAGAAAATTAATCTGGCGTCCGCGAGACAGGACTTTTTGGTGCACAGTGTGTCCAAAGTAGTGAGAAAGAGCCTCGAGTTGTTGATAGTGCTATCGGAACGATTTTGTGTGTTGTTCAGTGTTCTCGTTAACGAGTGCAGGGGAGTGTTCCGATAGACTGATTTAGGCAGATACTTTTTGCACGCGGCAAGGTTTTAGTTGCGAGTTGCGAGACACAATGGATCTCGAAAAGTTAGTTGCTCTTGGTGAAAAGATGGGTCTTTCTGGCGCCGAACTACGGAAGTGGGTCACCCAGAAGGAAAAAGAAGAAAAAGAGAGAGCCAAGGAAGAAAAGGCAGCTGAGTTGGAGAGAGAAAGGCTGGCCGCTGAAAGGGCGAGAGAAGAAAGAGAAGCAAAGGAGCGACAGCTGAAAGAAGAAAGAGAGGCAAAAGAGCGACAGTTGAAGGAAGAAAGAGAGCAGCAATTGAAGTTGGAGCTGGAGAGAGAAAAGTTGGCAGCCGAAAGGGCGAGAGAAGAAAGAGAAGCGGAGATGGCTGAAAGGGAACGGCAGCGGCAGCACGAGATGGAACTCGAGCGGCTCCGTTTGCAACAGCGAAGCGAAGCTCCCGTCCAAGCTAGAGTTGAAAGCAGCGAACGGGAAGATCACGGCTTCCGCTTGAACCCAAGCAAGCTGCTCGTAGCGTTTGATGAAAGGAAGGACGACCTAGACGCGTACCTCCACAGATTTGAGACGATTGCGAGGAGCCAGAATTGGCCCGAACAGCAATGGGCAACTGCTTTGAGTACTTGCTTGAGTGGTGAAGCGCTCAGTGTGTACGGTAGGCTGACGCCGACCGATGCAGCCAACTACGCAAAGGTGAAAGCTGCTTTGTTGAAGCGATTTAGATTCACTGTGGAAGGATTCCGGGACAGATTTCGGACAGGAAAGCCAGCTGACGGTGAGACGGCTACGCAGTATGCTGCCCGACTTTGCCATTATTTCGACAGATGGATTGAACTTTCAGGGACAGCACAGGAGTACGATGAGCTTAGAGAGCTGTTAATTAAAGAACAATTTCTTACTAGTTGCCACCCAAGCCTGTCGCTGTATTTGAAAGAGAGGAAGGCGGAGTCATTTGAAGGAATGCTTGAATTGGCTGATCAATTCTTGGAAGCGCAAGGTGGAACTAATTTGGCCAAGGTCAAGAAGGAGTGTCCCGATGATTCGAAGAAATTGGTTCCCGAAGAAAGGAAGCGTGCACCAGAGAGCATGCAGCGATGTTTTCTGTGCAACCGAGTAGGTCATCGCGCGAAAAATTGTCGAACGATCTTTACGAGCCCTACGGCAGTAAAATGTTTCAAGTGTGGTCAGACTGGGCACAAAGCAGATGCATGTCGGAACGGAGTGAGTCAAACTCACCAGGTATCCTGTGTGCAAGTGGCACCGAAATCCGATAATAATGCCGTCACCGACGGATTCGTAGAATTGAAAAATGGGGAGAAAATTCCTATTGTCGGTGCTGTAATGTCAAAACAGCCAACCGGTGTTACGAAGGGAATGCCAACGCTTCCTGGAAAGATTGCAGGCAAGAAGATTACGGTTCTAAGAGACACCGGTAGCTCCACGGTTATCGTGAGGAGAAATTTGGTACGGGAAAGAGAGTTGACAGGCAGAACGAAACCGGTTTGCCTAATTGACCGTACGGTCCGTATGCTTCCCGAAGCAGAAATTGAGGTTGAAACCTCGTACTTCAGCGGGAAGGTTACTGCGTTATGCATGACGACCCCCCTGTATGACCTTGTCATCGGAAACATCGACGGGGCGCGAGGGCCAAGTGATCCAGAATGGTTGGGAGAAGACCCGAAGTTGGAGCCCTCGCCGACACAGCGGCCGCGAGATACAATGGAGGAACATCCCGTGACGGATCTCACTAGAGCACAAGGTGAAGCTGCGGCGCAAGAGACAGCGAAGGAGAAGCCGATCGTGTCGAATAAGTTCGCGGGCCGAGCAACCGGACTTACGTCGGCACGACCTCAACCAACCGACAGTGTAAAGGAGACGGAGTTGGCCAGCCGGGAAAAATGTAGAGGCATGATCAAGCGGGTAAATAAACAGACAGGACCCGTCGAATGTAATGACCCGTTAACGGCGTCGGAAGTGGCAACGATGGCTGAGACGCCGCCTCAGATATCGTCGTTGGAAAGGGCTCGCCGAAAGGGAACGTGGAAAAACAAGAAGTCGAGCGAGCACCGCAAGAAAGGGCGCAAGCGCTGTTCGAAGTACTCAAGATAGGTGCTGAGGTGGAATCAGAATGTGTTCGGCAGGGCTGAGTGACATATGTTGTGTTAAGGTTCTTGTTATCCTGTGTCTCAAGTGTATGTCGAGTGAGTCAGTGTTCTGTGCGATGGTGTGATGTATAGTGTTGTATAATTGTTGAATAGACAGAACTTTGTACGTTTGTATTGTTTAGAATGTGTGATGAAGTGTTGTAGGCATGTACCTGTGGTTATATTTCATGTGTTGTGGAATTGAACTACAATGTACGTTTGTATTGAGTGATATATTGTGAATGTGAAGTGTCATGAGCGACGGATTGTGTTACAGTCTGTGAGAATGTGTGGTGACTGTTCGCGCTCGTCTGTGTGGTTTTTGAATATTATGAGATAATATTCTTAAAGTGGGGGGCAGTGTCACAGAACGAGCGCTAAACAAGAGCGCGCCGCCAAATACTTGCGACAACGGGCGGCAGAAACGCCGCGAGGTAAAAAGGAAAAAAAAAAGGAAAGCAAACATCCAG